TTTTTTTAAATAAATAAACCACCCCATAAAATTCTAAACCTTCAAAAAAAAACTTTTTTTTTTTCCAAATGAAATCGCACAAGTTAATAAAAAATTCAGAATCTTGTTTTTTAGTGTTAGGCTGTCTCAGGCTAGATATCTACGAGATTAGTCCTCTCAGAGTCTCAGTTAGATTAGATTCAGCCGAGTAGTTGATTTATTCCATATTTAGTCGTTTTCTAGTTTGTAATTATGGCAAAGATTTTAATGGTTATTGGTTAAGGTCAGTCGTAGTAACCATTACCTGAACGGTGCCCCAGTTTTTTCAACACCAAACACTGCACTTTCTCTGTCTATAGCCATGGCCGCGTGCTCAAGCTTTTCTCCTCAGAAGCTAATCCCATCGAAAGCCAAACCCATTGCTTGTGTTCTCGTTAAATCGAGATTTTCGGTTCAAGTTAAAGCCTTTTCTTCTCAAGTTTCAAGTTCACCTCAAAAGGGTAACTAGCTTTTGTTCAGTTCTGTAATTATACTAGTGTTGAATGCTGTTGCTGGTTTTGCATTATCAAGGCATTATAATTTTGTTTGGGATTGCGTGTATGGTGTTCGTCAGATTGGGTGCTTGGCCTTAGTTATTATTCTTGTTCTAAATTTATCGAAGATTGGTTTTGCTTTTGGCTTGTTTTCTTTAGTCTGTCCAAACTGGGAAATCCGAGTATTATTACAATTTTACTACTGAACTACTGCAGGATAGTTGGAAGGGTTTGCTCTATCACTGTCAATTTCTTACAAAAATGCTGTAATTTTGTTGGAATTGTGATGCTTGTGATTGAAGTGTTTGCTGTTGAAGATTTGTGAAAATTTTGTTTGTAATTTGGTTTTGTCTCAAAGTTCTTGCATTTGATTGTGGTTACTTGCCGTATTCTTTCTTTTTCGAAAAACAAAACTTGGCGGAGTCGGAGCTATTGAGATAAGATTCTTGGTATGATTGCTATTATATGTCACTCGAAATTCAGTTAAAACTATCTTTTCTTTTCATTTATTTTCTTTTTGCTTCATGTAAAATGGTATGATCAATAGCTACATTACCTGAAGTGGAAAATTCGCAATCTTTGAATATGAATATTTGCTTTCTATGAAGTTGTGAATAGTGATGTAGAAGGCTTGCAATGAAACTTCGACGAATTTATGTATGCAATACAGATGAGATTCCAGCTCGCATTGGCTTTCTGGGTCTCGGAATTATGGGATCTCCAATGGCACAAAATCTCATTAAAGCAGGGTATGGGTTAAATTTATTTAGCCATTGTGGTTAATATACCGCATTCACAAATTTTGGGACTCGATTGTTGTTTTCAGCAGTGTTTTAATGGTCTATTGCTTTTAGAGTCCTCAATTTTGGCGTCATTGGGGAATAATATCCTACTGGCAATGCGTAAAAACTTAGATAGCGATTTTAACTTTAGGAAGTGAGAGATTTGACTTATGCAGTGATATGTGAATCTTGAACAAAAACCTTTGTAGAATTATCTGTTGGATGGTTCCAGTAATATGAAAACTGTTTCTTCACAAATATAAGTTTGTAAATTCTTATTCTTTATCATCACTGTCGATTTTGTGCTGTAGATGTGATGTTACTGTTTGGAATAGGACCAAAAGAAAATGTGATCCCCTTATCTCCTTGGGTGCAAAGTAAGTTCACTCTAAACTTATATGAACATTTTTTTTTTATTTGTCTGGTTAATAATTAAGAATTTACAGCTTTTGGTTTGTGGTGCTTTAGTCGTTTTTAATTAATAAGTGTAAGTGATGCAGTGTCATCAACCATCCTTTCAATGAGTTGAGATTTAATTTGATGGAATAACATTGAATTTCTGAAGTACTTCAGACTGTAGTGTTCTTTCGTAATTAAATTTCAGTGCTTTGTTTTCATGCCTATAATTTGTCAATTGGAATTTTACTAGTTCTTGGCAGGCCTTGATTAAGTCAGTAGTAACTATTAAGCGCGTAAATGTACTTTTATAGCTCACATTTCTCGACTTGGTGTGCTATTTAGCAAATTTTCTGAATTTATATTGTTGTGAGAGTATCGTTCTATTTTTTTTCCAAGTTTAGCATATTTGTTCTTCCCCTTATTTTTCTAAACAGCATTTTGTAATTGCAGGTATAAATCCTCACCTGAGGAAGTAGCTGCCTCTTGTGATGTGACATTTGCGATGCTTGCAGATCCTGAAAGTGCGGTGAGTATATAATGTTTTTGGTGATTATAATTGCATTTATCCTAGTAGTCTCAGCTTGACGAGTTCCATTTGTCTTCTTTTTTCATCTTTTATTCTTTTTCTTTTTCCAGGTTGACGTTGCATTTGGAAAGAATGGAGCTGCAGGTGGTATGAGCTCAGGAAAAGGGTAAAAAAAGCTTCCTATTTTCTTATGAAAGAAAAATTACTAGTTTTTCTCGATTTTATTCTGGAGAAATTGTATGTTAACTAGAGGCAAACTCCATTGAAATTCAAAGTAATCTTGGAGGTATTCGTGATTCTGAAAATATAAATGGAGCATTTTGTAATGAGGCTTAACTCGAAAGTGATGTTCTGACCAGATTTAAGTTGAAACTCCATGGATGAAATTGTAGTTCATAAACAAAGCATTTTTCCGGCTCACTTCCGAGCATTTTATTTGTTAGTAAGAGTTTGTGGTAACATATAATTTGAATGTCTAAACGTGCAATTTATAGTTATGTAGATGTCTCTACTGTTGATGGAGCCACTTCCAAATTGATCAGCTCACATATCAAATCAACCGGAGCACTTTTTCTGGAGGTTAGTCTCTGAGGTTTTTATCTCAATAAGAAAGTGAAGAACACATGGAAGCATTTATCATTATAAAAGTTAAAAAAATTTAGAAATAATGAAGACACTTTTCTGTTGTCCAAGCAGGCTCCAGTTTCAGGTTCGAAAAAGCCAGCTGAAGATGGGCAGTTAATTTTTCTCACTGCTGGTAAAAGTTATCTTCTCCAATTATGGTTTTAAATAGGCTAAAATTCAGGGGTCGTTTTATAATTTTTCCTAAACTTTCTTCCTGCTACAATTTCAGGTGATAAATCTCTCTATGATACTGCTGGCCCATTTTTAGACATCATGGGAAAGGTGATTCTTTTCTTCCAATTTAATTCTCTTCTTTTAGATATGATCCTGACATTTTCTTTCTTGTTCATTTTTTCGCAATTGTTCTAGTCGAGATTTTACCTTGGAGATGTTGGCAATGGAGCTGCAATGAAACTCGTAGTTAATATGATTATGGGAAGGTTCCACGGTTTTCTTGTTCGTTCAATGACTTCATTTTTTTCAATTTTCTTCATATTTCTATAAATGATTTCTGAATTCCTCTTTTTATGCATTCCGAAAATTGGCAGTATGATGGCATCGTTTTCGGAAGGGTTGCTACTTAGTGAGAAAGTAGGTCTCGATCCCAGTGTTCTCGTCGAGGTATATACCATATACATCCAAAAGTAATCTCTTCAAGATTATATACAAGTGTAATTTGTCAAAAGAAAAAAAAAATATCGAATGTTTTAAGCGCTCATTTTTTTTTTTTTTTTTTTTTGGCAGGTTATTTCGCAAGGCGCCATAAGTGCACCAATGTACTCCATGAAAGGGCCTTCAATGGTTCAATCCATTTACCCCACAGCATTTCCATTAAAGCATCAGCAGAAGGTACAACTACAAAACTCTCATAACCCGGTTATCCTTCGCACTCTCAAATGTTCTACAAAATACCTCCTTTTGTAATTTTGAACTTTGTATTAGGACCTTCGGCTGGCTCTTGGGTTGGCCGAGTCGGTTTGTCAGCCAATCCCGATTGCTGCGGCTGCAAATGAGCTGTACAAAGTTGCGAAATCGCGCGGTTTAAGTGACGAGGACTTCTCGGCGGTTATTGAAGCACTGAAAGGGAAACTGGAAAAGTAGTTCATATGTCATATGGTTGTTTCAACTTATTAGTGCAGATTTTGTTTTCGTCTGGTGCTTTCTATCTGTTGAGTAAACTTTGTTCACCTTTAACAATAAATCCCCTTTATATATAATTCCCGAATGCGCTGAGCCTACATGGCTGTTTCTGGTGCTTCAGAATCCTACTTGGCAATTAATCATGCTTCGTAATTAGGTTTGGACAAATAATATTGATATATTAATAATTAATAATCTAGGTTAGGACATTCCATAAATATTATTTAGTTAACTTAGGTATTTTAATATCACTTGTATTAATATAACCCTTTAATTCTTTGTAATTTTACATAGTGAGGCACTAAGTGACTAATATATCCCCGACTTTTGATTTGTTTCCTTCAATTAGCTATTGAATTGTAAATGTATTTTAAAAGTTGATAACTTTTGTATTTCTTATCGGTTTTACATATATAATATATCAAATTAATCACATTGTGATGATGTTCGATTTGACATCCATATTGTATATATTAAATAAATAAATTATATTTATAATAAAATAATAATAATAATATTTATTAAAATTCATTAGGAAAATAAAATTATTTCTCAATTGATATATTTATGTTTAATGTAGATATATTTTGTAAGTTATAAAAAATTATTATAATATAATACAAGTAAGTCGCACAAATAAAAAGTTTCATACTTAATATATAATAGTATATATATTTTTATAAAATGTTTTAAATTTTCAACTATTTTTTTCTCATTAATTTTAAATTTTAAATAAAAAATTAACAAGTACCCGTGTAATACACGGGCGTTGTACTAGTAAATAAATATAATCCAAACTTCATCATTATTTTTTGTCTTCTTTTCTAATGAAAATTACATAATTATTTATAAAAAAAAATGGATTATTGGTAATGAAGACCAAAATAGCAAGGCGTGCTTATGTATTTCTTAGACAAAATCCAAATATATATTTTATTTCAATTTTTATTTTATTTTACTGATGAAGTATATTAAAGTTAACTAGTAGATATCCTGTGCACATGCACAGATGTACATAAAATATTAGTAAGTAATATTTAAGAATTTAATATTAAAATTCTAGTTAATGAACATATTACATTTTCAAAAATTTGATCATTAGGAAAAATAAATTAACAATTTTATTATTATAAATAATTATTTATTATCATTAGATAATAACAGATTGATTATTATTATTATTATTATTATTATTATTATTATTATTATTAAAAAAATTATTTATAAACTTCTAAAGTTGTTTGACTATGCTATTAAAACAATTTACTAATTATTTTTAAATAAATTTTTTCATGAGATATAAAAGAAAAAAGATAATATTGATGTTAATATAACTAACTTGAAACAATTGTTTATAATTATGTAATTTATATTTATTGTGAATTATTATTAGTTGGTATTAGCAATAACTATTATATAATATAAAAGAAAAATATATGATTACACTTAATATGATGTTCTAATGTGAGAAGTAAAAAAATATTAATGATAAAGTTTGTAACTGAAAATAGAGGAAAAATTTTAGTGGTTTTATTAAATAGGTAAAATTAAATGCTAAGCTAGCAATTATATATATATATATATATATATATATATATATATATATTATTAAAAAAACAATTGTTTATAAGATTCTAAAGTTGTTTAACTATGCTATTAAAACAATTTACTAATTATTTTTAAGGAAATATTTTTATGAGATACAAAAGAAAAAGATAATATTGATGTTAAAATACATAACTTGAAACAACTGTTTATAATTATGTAATTTATATTTATTGTGAATTATTATTAGTTGATATTAGCAATAACTATTACTCTCTCCTTTTCAAAATAAGTGTCGTTTGGACTTTTTTAATTCATCCATTTTGCTATGTATCTAGACAAAAATATGTCTAGATACATAGCAAAATGGATAAATCAAAAAAGTCAAACGACACTTATTTTAAAAAGAAGGTAGTATATAATATAATAGAAACATACATGATTACACTCATTAAGATGTATTAATGTAAGAAGTAAAAAATATTAACGACAAATTTTGTAACCGAAAATGGAGGAAAAATATTAGAGATTTTATTAAATGTTTTATTAAATGCTACATGCCAGCAATTATATATATATATAAATATTTAATTTTAAAAATGATTAATATTCCGGACTGCACATGTAAATAATAAACTATTCTCACCTTCTAGTTTCTATTTCTAAGCTTCAATTTTGCTGTTCATTAATTAATCATTATTGAGAAATGCTAAGCTCCCAATTAGGAATCATTAGTATCTTCACCCGTGCGATGCACGGAACATATTTATTAAAATATTTTAATAAAT